GTATTTGAGAAAAAAATAATGCAGAATATTTTTCACACACACCCCTACAAACATAGATAGAAAACACACACACAAACACGCTCACACATTTCCTTCCTCAGAATGGTGTAATGGCTAAGAGTTTGGACTCTGAGTCGGGCAAATCTGGGAATATTAATAGTATCTAACTCATAGGGTTAATGCAGGCAATTAAGAGAGTTTGCTCATATAAAGTGTTTATTAGCACTGACTGACTCAGAATAAATCTCAGCATTCAGTACCTATTAACTTCTTCTGTTTTTGTAAGATGCTTAGGTAAGTTTCTCCAAGATTTCTCAGATGTAGTTTACTTGTTATCGTTGGGGTATTGTACCTTCATTGACTAGAGAGATCACATGAAAAAAACATATTCAGCAAAACCTGGGAGAAACGTATCTGAGTATTTATATAAATAATAGATGCAGGTAGGTTACTTAGCACAGTGGCTGGAACATAGTAAATAGTTAATAAAACTTAGCTTCTATTATTACTAAAAAATCCATTCATATCACTTATTCCAAAGAGCTGTGGGAGAGTGGGCACTGAGGTAGGGGTATGATAGTATCCAGCAGGATCCGCAGGAAGTGAATTCTGTTTCCAGACCCTATTCATTAACCTCTAGGTATGGTGCTAAATATACTTTAAAATATCTTTGAGTAATGAAGGCTAACCAAAATGAACTACTTATCAGCCACTCTTGATATTTGGAAGAATACCTTATTTTAAAATTGTATCTTTTGCTTCTATTAACTGACCATATAACTTGTAGAAAAAAGTTGTTTTCAAAGGTTTCCACTGGAATGCCATGAGAGGATCTGGGGCTCTAACCATCATCTTCCATGCAAGCATGAAGATTCTTTGAGAACTCACATATTTTACCTTCAAAAAAATCATGTAAATTTTGTATTTGAATTCATACCATTGAATGCTCTTTGAACTGAATGATGCCTATCCAAGATGGAGAGCAGCATGATGTGGTGGAAGGAGGCTTTGGAATCACACAGACCTGGGCTGGCATCCTAGAGCCATTACTCACTAGTTTATGACATGGACAAGTCACTGAACCTGTTTCTCCATCTGAAAAATGGGGGCAAAATCCTACCTCATAGTTATTGTCAGAATTAAATAAGAACATACATGCCTTCTCTGTGCCAGCCACTGTGCAAAGTGCTTGGGATACATAAATGAGTAAGACATGGACCCTATCCTCAAGGAGTTGACTCTAATAAATCACTTAACATGGTATCCAGCATATATTAGGTGCTCAAAAAATACTTTGTTGAAAGGACTAATAAATGAATAGCAGACCCTTAATACATGTCAGTTTCTTCTTTATTTCCCCTGCCTATCCCAACTACCAACTGATTTGAGGGAGAAAATAGACTAAAGTACATTTCCCTTAAAAACATTTTATTTTGAATTAATTTTAGACTTACAAAAAGCTTGCAAAAATAGTACAGAGAGTTTCTTTATATCCCCCACCTCACTTTCTCAATGTTAACATCTTAAATAACCACAGTATAGTGATCAAGAACAGGAAATCAACATTTGTACAATATTACTAACTATAGAATTTACTTGAAATTCACCAGTATTCCCACTAATGTCCTTTTTTTGTCCCCAGATCCTATCCATGATCACACAAGGTATTTAGTTTTCATTTCCTTTCATCTCTTCCAGTCTGTAGCAGCTCCTCAGTCTTTCCTTATCTTTCGTGACCTTGACTTTTTTTTTTTTTTTTTTTTTTTTTTTTGGCTGTGCCGTGTGGCATGTGGGATCTTAGTTCCCCAACCAGGGATCTAACTCGTGCCCCCTGCAGTGGAAGCACAGAGTCTTAACCACTAGATCACCAGGGAAGTCCCATGACCTTGACACTTTTGAAGAGTACCACAGTAGTCAGAATTCTAAGGTGACCTCTAAGATTCCCACCTCTGGGTGTACATGCCTTGTGCACACATTGAGAGAAAGAAGAACCTATGAATATGATAAACTATCACTCCTGTGATTATATTACTTATCATTTGACATTGATTTATCAAAGAGATAGTACCTGGGTGGACCTTCACATTGACTCCTGTGTTCTTTTGACAAGCCTGTATCTGGTTTTTCTTTCCTTACTTTCTGGCCCACAAGATAGTCCTGGGTCATCTTGTATTTTCCCTACCTCAGTTCTGAAAATAACCATTTCTCCAAAGAGAACTGGTTCCTTTTATTGGAGGATAGTGTTTAGATCTGGGTGATATGGTGTATTCAGTGTTTAAGGTGTCATTGCTTCTAGACCTTCTCAGGAGACACAGAGAGGGAATATATGGGCTATACTAAACCATACATACTTACATATCTATATTTCTGTATTGATGTATCTGTATATGTTTTATCTATTTATTTATTAATTTTTTATTTTTGGCCGAGCCATGCAGCTAGCAGGATCTTAGTTCCCTGACCAGGGATTGAACCTGCACTCTCAGCAGTGAAAGCGCAGAGTCCTAACCACTGGACCGCCAGGGAATTCCCTATCTGTATATATTTTGTTTTATTTTATTTTATTTTGCATATATTTTAAAACCATGAGTTTATACTGATACCCCTAATTCCAATCCAATGCCACAAGGTTCATTTTAGCTTTCTCTCTTTCCTTACTTATAACTTCTTTCTCTAACAGTGAAAAATCCAGCTTTCATTATCAACCATATATTTAATTATTTGTTTAAAAATGAGTGTGTGTGTTGTTGTTTTTCAGGAAAAGTTTTTTCTTTAGAAACCTATAGAATGGTCTCCAACTCTACTCCATCAGTAGATGACCCCAGCAACTGCATTGATCCTTCACTTTCCGCCTCCTCCTAAACCCCACTCCAATATCTCTACTAACCTAATTACAAATTAAATGAAACTGGAGTCCTCTGTGCCCCAATCCAAGAGCTAGAAGCTCGGGGCCCAGGTAGGGTAACTAGAACCTGATATAAATCCTTGCTTTCTGAGCAGACCAAAAGGAAGTCTTCCTGAATTGAAGATCTTTTAAAATGTTGTCAATGAGACCTAGGGGGGTTTGAATTGGTTATTGGAAGATCTAGAATTCACTGAGTCCTGGCTGATTCTAATGGGTGATTCCCCCATGCTCCCTCACTACTTCTCACTCAGCCAAACATTGATCATTTAACACTCTCAGTACTCCCTACCAAATGCTGATAGTTATTCAACACTGTCTTTTTCCCTTTATAGATGTTATTTGTGAAAATCAAATGAGAGAATCAATGGATATGTGCTTGGAAAGTTATGCAGTTCTAAGTATACTGAAGGGTCCTGGAAAGTGTCTGCAGCAGGGGGGTTGAATTCTGCATACTCAGATGCTCTCCATCTTGTGACCCACCTGGTAATGGGAGCTCAGAGACCACCCTTCCTGCTGTGACCAACCCTAGTTGGGAGTCAGAAGTCCTCTAAGAAAACAGGGAGGGTGAAGCTGCTATAGTGAATAGAGTGGCTAAAAAGACAGGATATCCTGGGAATCTCTTAAAATAGGGAGGTCAAAATGCTTTGACTATTGTACTTTTAAAACATTCATTCATTCATTCAACAGCTATTTGCTGAGTGCCTCTGCTAAGGGATGGGGAGATGAGAAACCCCATCTCTGCCCACAAGAAGTTTAGAGTAGGGAATCCAATAAACCCCTAGTGCAGGCAATACAAGAGCTGCCATTTATTGAAGACCTACTGTGAGCCAGGAATGGTGGTGTTCTACATATTATCTCATTTAATACAACTGATTGTCTTGAAGGTAGGTGTTATTATCTTTGATAAAAATGAGGAAATTAAATATCAGAGAGGCAAATAAATTTGTCCAAAGTCACACATGTAGTAAATACAAGAGTCATAATTGAAATCCAGGTCTGCCTGGACTCTAAAGCTCATAGTCATTCCCTCACACTAATAAAGTGAGAGTAAGCCATTCACTGAACAAATATTTATTGAGTACCTCTTTTTGTTCCAGATATTGTTCTGGGTGCTAGTGATGTGTGAAAGTGAAAAAAATAATAAAGTCCTTGTGTCGTGGGTCTCACGTCTACTGGAGAAAGACAATAAACAAATAAGTATTTAGTATGTCAGGTGGTAAGTGCTATGAAGAAAAAGTAGGCAGGATAAGAAAGACAGGGGAAGGAAGATTATTAATTTAAATAGAGTCATCTGGGAAGGCTCTGATACTGTGAAGTAAGTGCAGGAGCAGGAGCTGGAACTGGCATAAAGAAGAGCTTCCTCCTTTGCCTACCTGTGGGTTCACTCTGGAGAAGAGAGGGCAGGTTGGGGGTGCAGGTGTTAATGGAGAGGATGGGCTTGGAGTCAGAAGACTTGAGCTTTATTTATTGATTTATTGACAAATCATTTCACTTTTGAGCCTAAATTTCCTTCCCTGTATACGGGAATTATAGTCCTTGCCCAGGTTCCCACATGCAGCTACCATGAGGATGAGATGAGATAGCCCATGTGAAAGCCCTTTGAAAATAAGACAAGCAAGATTAGGCGTCAGCTTTTCAACCGAAAGGAAGCCTGTGTAGGAAAAGAAAAGGAATTTCTATTTCAGGTGCACCAGTTACCTAGATATCTTTTTGAAAAGCAGTCCCAGGCTGAAAAGAGATATAGGCTAAAAGAAATAAACATAAGTTTCATAATTGGCCTTCACTGAAGATTCCTGTTTAATTTACAATCGTTAGAAATTGCTTTTTTTTTTCAACCTTAACTCTTGATCGCTGCGCCCCTACTTGATTGTTTCCCTCCTTGCCACGCCCCCCCGCCCTATCTCCATTTCCCAACATGCCTCGGGCTCCCGTAAGCCGGCAGTCATTCTGGCGCAAGTTCCAGAGCCTTCTGGGAAGTGTAGTTTATTTTTTCCTCCGCTGCGTCAAGATCTAGGGCTGTGGACTACCACTCCCGTGAAGTAGTGCGTAATTCCACTACGCGGCGTCTTCGAACGCGCCGCGGCAGCCATGTTGGACGTGGCCAGTACAGGGGCCGGCACCAGGGGGTTATCGAAGCAGCTGTCACGATGCTGGGGTACCTGGTGTCGAGGAGAACAGCGCCGGCGCCGCGGCTGCTCCTCCAGCTGCTTAGGTCCCCATCGCTCCGGAGCCGTGGGAGTGCCACCGACCGGAGTGTGACCACCGGGGGACGCGGGGAGCCTCAGTGGCTGAGGGCAGCCATCGGGGGGCGCCCTGGAACATCGCCGGCCTTACTCACAAGAGAAGGGACAGCCACTGGGGGGCGCCAGAGGGGAGGTACCGAGACCCCCTGCCTCGCAGCCGCCACGTGGGGACGCCTTCCTAGCCCCGAAGACACTCTGCCTGGACAGGACAGCTGGAACGGGGCCCTCAACAGGGCCGGAATGGGCGTGTGGGCGCTGGCAACGGTGCTGGTGGTACACTGTTACAGCAAGAGCCCGTCCAACAAGGGTGATTATCGGGACAGTATGGGTTTGTGGAAGTGAGAGGCCGGAGGAGTGTCCTGACTGCGTATCTTTGGAGGGTGGGAGTTGCATATAGATTTAGACCACCGGAGCCTCAGTCCTTGTAGGACCTAGACATCATCAGGTCATAGAGCAGGCCGAAGAGTTAAGTGTCTCTGCGTTGTATAATTTCCCAAATTGTACAACTATTATTGTATAATAATACAGTTATTACAGGTCAGCCTCCCTTCTTTGAGCATCACTTTGTCCGTCTGTACGATGGGAGCATTTTCTCTACCGTATCGCCTGGTTCAATTCCTCTTTTAAGAGGTCTCCAAGGAACCGCGCGTGTTTTAAGGGCAACCATTAGATGGTTTAGAGAAGTTGCCCTCCCTAAGGTGGCCTGAGAAAGGAAGAGGAGACTTGGTTTCAATGCCAGCTTTGGCCCTGCTCGCCCCTTGCTGCTCTCTAGCTTCAGTTTCCCCATTTATACAGTGAAGGATGACTTCTCAGTACGCTTACAGTGCTGTTATTTTGACTCCTCTTGGAGTTCAGCAGCGTGGGTGTATCCATCAGGGAGACTCCTAAGGTTTTGCTGTGCCTGGTCTCAGGCGTGAGGTGATCTTGCTATGTGGGGCAGTTGGCAGGAGAAGGAAGACAAGGAAGTGGCTCTGTAGAGCCCCAGAGCAACCATGGGGCCTGGCTGACCCAGGTTGGCATCCCGCCTGGGTGCATGGAGCCGAGCAGGGACTGGGAGAGCAGGCAGAGAGCTAGACTTCTGGCCTACGTGAGTCCAGCTACTCAGGTTCTCAGCTTTTCCTCAAGAGAGAAGACTAAGGCATGGTGTTCCTAGATTCCATGCATCCCAAGCTCTGAGATTTTGGACCAAGAGGAGGGACTCCCTTGACATTCATTTGTTTATTCAACAGATGTGACCAGCTATAAAGGAAGGGCCTTGGATGGGGAGTAAGGACACCTGGGATCTTGTTTTGGTTCTGCCTCTAACTCCCATTGTGACTTTGGAGTTTTGTTCCTCCTCAGTGGTCCTCTGTTTTCTCATCTACAAAATGAGGGTGTTGAAATAGAACCCCTAAGGGCTCTTCTAGCTTGGGCATGCTATGATTCTATTACTTCCAATATTTTTATAATATTAAAAATTAAATTATATTTTTATGATTCTATTACTTCCAATATTTTTATACTCTGTGTGTGCCTACTTTGGAGCTCAATGTAGAACTCCTAACTTAACACAATGCCAGTTAAGGGGACAGTGCAGGCAGTTAGACCTGTAGGTCTGGTGAGTGGTTTGACAGTGTGTTGTTGGGGGATCAGAAGGCCAGCAGGGTCAGGAAAGCCTTCCTGAATGATTGGAGACCTTCCTGGAGGATGGGGAATTTGAACTTGAGTTCCAAAGGATAAGGCAAAGATGAAAAGGAGAGTGAATATTGTGAGTTCCATGAGAGCAGCAAGTGCATCTTGATATTTTCAGGTTGATGCCAGCTCCTTTCCCTAATACTTTCACGTTGTTTGTCCACCATAGTCTCTGGTATTTAGTATAGGTACTTAGTAAATGTACCTTGAGATGGTTTGTATTCTACGCAGAGGTTTCCGGGAACAAAGATAAAGTAGTCGCAGGTCAGCATGGCATGTATAGAGGCTAGCAGAATGTCCAGCCTGGTTAGAGGACAGGGGGTCTTTGGAATGAGGTGAGAGCAGATGGAGTGGGGTCTGGATATCAGGCACAAGGGTTTGGAAAGGTTGGAATTCTCCTGTAGGCAATGGAAAGTTGATGAGCAGGGAATGTTCCGAGGCCAGTATGTTTAGAAGGACTGGGGGAAGGTGTCCAAGGTCTTGCCTTAGAGCTTTTGGGAGGCTCCAGATTGGATTTTGTGGCATATGAACCCTAGCAAAGAGACTAGGGTCTGTTCACCAAAATAGATAATGACCAAAACCATGACCAGTTCAACCTTTCTGACCTGCCAGTTACCCTGTCTCCTTACTTTGAGTTGTAAGCTGAGACCCTCAGTGCAGCACAGTCATTACTGCCCTTTAGGAGCCAGGAGGCCCTGGTTCTAATCTCAGCTCATTCCTCACTCCCTCTGTGACCTTGCAGAGGCCACTTCTTTTTGAAGACTGAGGGGAGAGTGGATACAGCAATATCTGAGGAAGGCTTGTTTCCCTTCTAGCTAGGGGCTGCCCAAGCATGCCTGGGTGTGTGTTGGAAGAACAACTGGGGAAGGTAACCAAAGAAGACCTGGCCCTGCAGTCTAGGCCAGGAGGTGAGGTGGAGGCATATGCATAGGTCTGAACCACAGGACTGGTTTGCATATGCATGATAAGGTGGATTTTGTACACGTAAGGAAACTGAGGCTCCGGAGGTTAGGTAAGTTAGCCAGCTCATACAGATAGGACTGGAGCCCGAGTCTGCTACTTCCACCCGGCTCCAGTGCTTCCTCTCATGTTTTACTGGGTGACTCTCTTGGCTGGACTGAGAGCTCCTTGAGGCAGGGATGGGTATGAGTCTGTCCAGTGCCCATCAGTGGAGCTCAGGACCAGCTGGGCTCAAAGTGTTGCACCGGCCCAGGAAAGAATTGTGCCTCTGCTGACTTTTGAGTTTTTTCGAGCCAGGTAGCTTTTCCTATGGCCACAAGGTGGTGCCAACAGCCTACAGGCTGCCCAGGCCAGGCCAGACTTAACATTGCCTTTCTGCTAGGCCTGGTGATTCCTAAAGGATTGATTGGAACCCTCTGCTTTGGATCTCCCTTTGTTGGGCTTGGCACTTGGGTGTTTGCAGATTTTTCAGCCATTATTTCATTTCTTTAGCATCCTTGTGAGGCCATCAGGGCAGGGATTACTGTCTCTGCTTTATAGTCAGGGAAGCTGGGGTTGAGAGGGAGAGGGGCTGCCATAGCACATGGTGAATAGCGGGCAGAGTGTATTGGAGCCTGGCCTCCTGGTCGAGGCTGTCTCCACTCTCAGAGGGGTCCACATCCCTGCCTGCTCCTCCCTATCCTGTCCCTCTTGCTGGGCTTGTGACCTGTGACATCAAGATTCAAGACTAGGCTGAGAAACTGAAGTGGGGGGAGAAAGTGGGGCAAGGTAGGGGGATGGTTAATAACAACAATGATAATCACATAAACCTGCAGAGCTTTATAGCTAATGAAGAGTGAAGGAGTTCACACACTGAGTGTTTACTGTAGGCCACACGTGGTACTAACACGTTATTTGGATCACCTTTGTGATGAGAGTGAAGCGTTTGGGCTCTAATAGAAAGATGTGGAAGACAAGTTGTTAACAGAGGCTACCACGTAGGCAGGGGATGACTAGCTTTCTCTTTGTATATCTTGGCGCCCTTTCACTTGCTAAAGCCCATGTTTCTGAAGTGCCTCCATTTCCACTGTCTTACTGGGCCCTCCAAGCAGCCCTGAGGGGTAGGTCCTGGCCAGGGATTTGACCAGTGCCCCCTCTCTCTTCAGATGCAGCCCTGGTGGAAGCTGTTCGAGCCAACAATGTCCAAGAAGTCAACAGGTGAGTGTCATACCCCAGGCCTTGCTCTCCCGTGCAGGAGGGCTGAGCGGGATGGGCCCCTTGCTCTGGCGGTGGCTCTGCCTTGGAGGAAATCCTCACAGTGAGCTGGGAACTGAACGCTGTGACTTCCTTGTAGTCACGGAGTCACTTGGGCTCCTTTGGCCCAGGTCAACCCTTAGGTATTTTAAGGTAGAGAATCAGTCCCTGTGTCTTCTTTCTGGCCCCAAACATCCCCGGATCCTTTGGCTGTTCTGTTCTTTGAAGGATGTGGTTTGGAGTTCCTCTGCATCCTGTAGGTTCTTCAGTGAATCTTCCAGTTTGTTCTTGTTTCTCTGTGGGATCGGTCACTTGTAATTGCTTGTTGCCTGGATGGGGTGCAGGTGGGCACCAGTGGAGAGGCTTGGAGATTTGAGAGGGAGCTGGAAGAGACCTTTCTGCCAGAGCAGCCTGCCTGCAGGGCTGGGTGCACATGCTGGGCTCCTGCCCAGGGGCTGACTGCATTTCTAGCCTCCCTGGCTCAGCTGTTCCCCTAGTGACCACTGGTCAGTTAGATCTGAGACTTGTTCTTGCTCAGGGACAGGACTTCACTCGGGCCTCCGCCTGGTGCCCAGGGCAGGGCAGAGTCTGTGTCTTGGACGGATGCTCAGACATAGGGCATCAGTATGGGGCTGTTATTCAGGGGCAGAGGCTTCATTCTTGGTGAAACTAGTGGCCCGCATTAGGCCTAACTTTGACCATTTTTTGCCTTTTGTATAGAGCTAGGTGGCCATAGGACATCCTCCCTTCCCTGCCACTATGTCCACATTTTAAACAGGAAGTCAGGTGTTTGGAGAGGCTGTCACTGCGCCCAGCGCTGCACACCCGTTGGTGCGCTCCCTCACTCCAGTTGCCTGAACATACAAGAAAGTGTTGAAAGGCAGTCACAGCCCCCATCAAGACTTACTGCTTTGATTCCCTTGTATTTTATCTGCAGCATTATTATTGATTCTCAAGGGTGCTTTTGAGTATTAATGTTCAAGGCTTAGTTTTTAATAAACCACTTTTGGAAGTATGGGCTGGGAGTTGTTTCGTAGCCAAATAAATATTATGGAGCAATAGTTTAATAAACATGTGATGATGCATCTTTAAAACCAAGCACAGATGTCAGCTTGTTGTTATAAGAGCCATTCATAACTCCAGGCAGTGCGTGGCCAGAAACAGATGAGCCTCATTTCCTTCTGCTGCAGTACGATGGCATGAGGGGGTGGAAAGTGGCTGTGCCCCGTGCTTTAAGGCTTTTGCTGACCCTTTAATCACCTGTTGATGACTGCTGAGGTAACTGCTGCTTTCCTCTGGCGAGCCAGTATAGGCAGTGCATTTACAGAGCAGCAGTGCTGTGAATCCACCTTTCCATCACCTAGGGGAGGCTGAGTTTACCCTGTTCCATTGAGCCCCCAAGGGTTGATTGATTTAGCTCTTTCAAATACACATTTTTCTCATTAGCAGGTAAACCCGTGCCACAAAATTACAGGAAGTGATTGAATTTATGTTGTGTGTGTGATTCACAACATTCATGCTTGCCTGTGTGGATAGGGTCTGTAGGGACTTTCCTGTGTGTCACCAGTCTCTAACCTGCCTTTCTCCTGCCTCCTCTTGTCCTATCTCTCTTGGTCATGATGACTCAATCAGAATCTCCCTTCACCCCTCGTGAGGGGGTCAGAGATGAGCAAGGCACAGACCCTGCCCCTCAGAATTGACAGTCTCCCCCCTCCATCACCACCTGGTCTCAAGGAAACAAACATGTAACCTACCAGTCACAGTTCTTCCCACTCAGAGAGCTAGACCTACAGGTAGGAGTGGGGAGAGCCCGACCACCCTTGCTAGAAGGAAGCTTTCTTGAATTCCTACTGCAGGTCCTTGTTTAGCCTTTTTACGCCCTAGACTCTGCACAGGTGCTTAACGCTACCCCTAATTTCTTCCTCTGTGTGTCCTGGCCTTTAGTTCTGCCCAACAGACCTGCCGATACCAGGATAGAATTCCATTCTCAATTTTTAAAAGATATTTACTATAGTTTATATGTGGTTGGGTCACCATGTGTATGATGTGTGGTTAAATCAGTATTTGGAATAAAACTCAGACCTGGTAATAATATTGTCCTCTACCCTCCTTTCCTTCTTGCCCTCTCTGGATTCTATGCTGTGTGTGTCTCTGCCTTGATGGCCCCTTACCTTCTGCTGGCCCCAGAGCCTTGGTAGAGCTCTGGATAGTGAAGGGCAGCGATCTGAAGCTCTTCTGCTCAGAGGCAGGAAATTTCATCATCCTCTTTAAGGATACTCTGGAATCTGCAGTTCCTAGGTTCTAGGTGTGGACCCTCCACACAGATGACTCTCTGTATACAGTGCTCATTACCCTCTGCTTAAAGCCTCCCAGCGTCAGCTCAAGTCCTACAGCCCTTGTGAAGACTTCCTTGACTCCTCCCAGCTGAGTGTGATCTGCCCGTTGCCCCACACCTGCCTGCTGGTCTGGGCAGGTACGTGGGTCATCTAGGAAGAGCCGTGTTAGCCATGGCAGGAGAGGAATCCTTTGCTAGAAGAGAGGTTGGAGGTCAGGTGGGAGAAGCAGGGCTGAACATCAGGACTGAGGAGGCACTCGGCCCATGAACAGGAAAACCAGTGCGGTTCCCATGCTGCCCAAATCAGGAACAGATGAGGAATCCTCACGCAGCAAGCCAACAGCTCTGGACAGCCACCTGAAGTGTGGGCACTGTTGACCTGCTTTATGTAGAGCCGGCTAATCGTTTGTGGTATGGGCCTGCCTGGCTAAAGGGGCAGGGAAGGTTTTGCCACTCGCCACACTCTTTTTTATATTAAGAAGGTTTGGGCTAGACTTCACCTTAAACCACTGGATTGTGTGCCTCCCCAGCGCAGGGACAAGGTCTGGTTTCCCACATGTCTTATCCTCTTCTCCAGCACAGTGAAAGTTGGGGAAAGCTGCTTTTTACTGACTTTTCAGCAAACCTGAAGTAGACAATCCAGAGTCTTATTTCCATACTCCCATTGGCTATATCAGAGGAGGGCTGGGTCCCTTTTTCTTCCCATTGTCCTCTCCTCCTTTCTCCCTGTGTGGCAACTGTTTCCTTCCTCCCCCAAGGCACTTAAACCTTGTTAGCAAGTTCAGGTCTCGCTCTTCAGGAGTGGAAGCCCAGTCCTGAGGCCCCTGTCCCACCTGTCAGCAGCATGAGCAGGTGGCCCTGCTTCTGGGCTTAGCCCAAACCCAAGCCTGGCTTCTGGACTCAGGATCCACTCACCCGAAACCTAGGGCACAGGGCAGTCTGAAGGCACATCTGTCCAACCTCGAGCTGAGCCATGTGAGGAGCTGTCGGGGCTGGCAGAAGTGAGGCCTCCTGTTCTCCCAGTGGAGATCACATTTCCTTTCGAACAAACTTGGGTGAAAGACTATACCCCTACCCACTTCCCTTCTCCTGGCAGGGAGCTGGGCCTTTGCTGAGTGCTTTTTCTGTTAGTTTTTTTTTAATTTATTTATTTTATTTTTGGCTGCGTTGGGTCTTTGTTGCTGCGCGCAGGCTTTTCTCTGGTTGCGGCGAGCGGGGCTACTCTTTGTTGCGGTGCGCTGGCTTCTCATTGCGATGGCTTCTCTTGTTGCGGAGCACAGGCTGTAGACGCATGGGCTTCAGTAGTTGTGGCTCGCGGGCTCTAGAGCGCAGGCTCAGTAGTTGTGGCGCACAGGCTTAGTTGCTCTGCGGCATGTGGGATCTTCCCAGACCAGGGCTTGAACCCATGTCCCCTGCATTGGCAGGCAGATTCTTAACCACTGTGCCACCAGGAAAGCCCTCTGCTGAGTGCTTAACTCGGTTGTTTCCATCCGCCCAAGCGCTTTTTAAAAGAAGGAAGTCTGATGGTGTCAATCTTGGACTGCAGACTGCCTACCCTTTCTCTCCAGGATTCATTTGTTCATTTGACAAAATTTTACTGAGCACCTGTCATATGCTGGGTTGCATACTTGGCACAGGGGACATCTGACCACTCATGATTCCTGCCCTCAGTGAAGGAGTCTGGGGAAGACTGTGGTAACACAGTGTGATCAGTGCTGAGACAGGAGGCCAGGATATACCACTAATCAACCTGGGGGACCAGAGAAGATGTCCTAGAGGAAATGACACCTCTCAGACATTTCCTAGTGAAAAAGATTAGAGTCTTAAAATGTCAGGAGGGCTTAGCAAATAGAAGGAGAAGGCGTTCCAGGCAAAGGAAACAGTGTAAGTGATAGCACTGAGGCAAGAAACAGCCTAGAGTGTGTGTTGAGGAGGGGAAATTACTGTTTGGTGTTGCTGGATCACAGCCTGAGGCCAGGAGAGACTGGAGATAGGAAGGGACCTGGTCATGGAGGGCATTGTCCATTTGTCCCTCAGTCACTCATCTGTCCAGCCTGTCCATTGTGCCTAGCCCTGAGCTGAATTTGTGTTGGTGGCAACAAAATGAGGAAGGGGAAGCAGTCCTCGCTCTGGAGGAGCTCACTGACCCTCTTCTCAGGTGAAGAGGGAGCACATTAAGTCAAAAATCAAGAACCAGCGAAACAAGGCACAAGTTGCCTAACTTCTGTAAGACTAAGTAACATGGAAATAATAGTACCTATAACTTACAGAGTTGTTGAGTGTTCATTATTAATAATAGAATTATTACTTAATTCAACCAATATATATGACTGCTTATTAGGAACTAGGCGTTGGACTGAGTGCTGGAGGTAGAGTGGTGAACAAGATTGGCACAGTTCCTGCCCTCTTGGTACTTACAGTCTAACCGGGAGCCAGGTGACTAATTATGCAATTATGTACTTCAAAGTGATGAAAAGTTTGTCTCTTCAACAGATGGTGCTGGGACAACTGGATATCCACATGCAAAAAAATGCAGTTGGAATCCTCCCTCACCTATACACAAAAATTAACTCAAAATGGATCATAGACCTAAATGTAAGAGCTAAAACTATAAAACTCTTAGAAGAAA